TCTGTAACTAATGTTAATTTAAAATAAAATTTCAATAAACGATAAAATATATGATCTTCGTGAATTAAGACGTAATCCATGTGTGAGCCAGTCTATTTTAAGAGTTAAAAAATAATAAGCTCAAAGAATTAATACATAAATATAACTTTTATTGAAAACAGTTCAGTTTTTGAGTATACGGAGGACAAAGAATGAAGCCTTCATTTTTTTTCTAAATAGGTATATAGCACTAATTTCTATTTTGTTTGCTTATTTTTGGTTTCCATTGGTTAGTTTATACATACATTGATAGATAAATAGAAAGATATTTGTATATTATATTAGACTAAACTAACAGAAAAATAAAAACATCCATTCAACTACACAGAATATGGTCAATATAATATCGTTAGAAACTTGACGTTAGTTTACGCTTGTTAATCTTCATAACTATTAACCATTCTATTCTATAATACATCTGGAATAGTAATTTTTATCTCTATCATTTTGACCATTCAAATGGAGAAATATTATGAATAATATTTAAAAATATGACTTATACACATTTTTAAAACCAATTCTAATCTAAATAACTATTGTAATAGAAATAAATTTATTAGTTTTAAAAAATTAACTAATTTAAATKAAATTTTCATTTTAACGAAAATTAAAATAAATTGTTTCACACAATATGTGCTAATCCTCATACGACTTTGTATTTGAAAAATCTTACAATTTGGAATGTAGGTATGCCTGTTATACTTACGTATAGGTGTATTAAAATATTAAGTTGAGAAACTTTATAAGTGATTAAAATTTGTTAAAACAAATGACTTCTCAGAGTCGTTAGATTTAAACATCGTGGRTTGAGACATTAACGAAGAAGCGTTACCAATGAAAAGTTTAAATTGTGTTTATTATGTATATCATGTATATCTTACGTTTAAGTATACAGTCGGCGGCAGTAATTTTAAACTCATTTCTCAGTTGGTTTTTAAGTTTTTGAAGTAGTTCCAATTTAAAATTGCACCACACACAGCTAGTTTTCGTATTTTAAGAAAACTATATTCATTTTTATCTATCCTGATCATACCGATTATAATTTCATATAAATTGTCCGAGTTCCAATCCAAACACGATTTAAATTTAAATGTTTGATGCGAAATATACCTTTATTTTTTTGAAAGTGTTGATATTAAAAATTACAATATATTCCATTGTTCCAACCACAAATTATAAACACAAAAACCACATCGATAAATTCATTTTAATTACACCGGTTAGATCAGTGTAAAGCCTCTAAAGTAGTCTCCCGTTTACATATTAYATTGTAAACATCTACCAAGAGCGCAGAGAAAACAGATTTTGGCAGACAGCGACGGCTGATTAACTGATTTAATAATTTCACTCCTAATGAATAACTTGATTATTAAACAGTAAATTAAATTTTGTAGCAAGTTAATGTTTAATTAGTTTTTTTTTWAAATCCATGGGTACATGAGTAGAATCATAGGTCAAACTCGAAACTGTACTTAATTACCTCGAATCCCAGAGAAAACAGTAAAAAAAATCGAATTTGAAAGAAACAAAATATGCATATAATATTAATCAGCTGTTATTATTTAATTTGATGTGTCTAAATAAATAAATAATCATCTTTTTTACAATTTTTTTTCAGATTTTTTTTTTTCTTAAAATCTCGATTAACATAATTCTAGTGTCAACGTTCTTAGAACCTGCTGGAATTTACACCTCACTAACTTATTAACATATGGCCGTACAAATTATATACAACCACCTCATTTTTGGTAATTTTCATCCCATATGTGTATTTTTCATTCCACGATTACATTTTTTATTTCGATCAGATTTTAACGTACATATGTCATATACAATAATATTTGTTCTTACATTTGCAATTTATAGGTATGACAATAATGGTTATAGCGTTACTGTTACGGTGACTGGTGAGATCAGAATTGTTTATTTTAGAACCATAGAATGTATTCAATTATTTATATATTATATACGAGTATGTGCAAATTGTGAGTTAAAAAATATAAACTCAAAATAAGGTGTCCTTTCTGGTTATTCGGTGTCCATGGGACCTGCCTGTCATGTACAGGTATGACCTGCGAAATTTAATCTAAATTTAAAATCTTTAAATTGTGAGGTATTAATCCCCAAACCCTAACATGATTTATATAAATATATATATATATATTAGGGGGACTGCATTTATCCCCCCTGAATATGCCACTGTTGTTCATGACCTGCGAATGAGATCTGGACATACCTATGATTCTGTGCTAGCATGTACTAGTCCTAATCTTGGTGTTTGGTAATATCGAACGGGTATAAGCTATGCTTTACATATTTTTTATTAYTATGAGAAAAATCAGTTCATTATTACCACATTGTATGGTTAGCTATAATAGCTATAATGTATATGAACACAATAATTTTCAATTAAAAATGTATAAGTTATAATATATTTTATGTTACATAAAATGTTATATATTAAATATTTTATGTTTCTGAATATATTTTAGAATCGCGAATGATCAGTAAAAATAAGATGAAAAGTTATTTTTACAGTTATTTTGCGATGTAGATAGTCACAATAAACGATTAAGTCGTCAAACTTAAAGTTATAACTTAGCATTAGTTATTCTTAAATATTTAAGATAAATCTTTAAAAATAATAATTCGAAGAAATATGAAAACAGAATTTAAAAAGATATAAAACAATTAATTTTCTTRAAAATTAGCTTTTTTTGACTAATGCCCCTTTACTATCGACTACCATCCAGTGATYGTCAACCAGTTCACGCCCCCACCCCTTCCCATTAGATTGTGGTAGTCAGCCAACAAATTAAGCTCTCCTTTAAAATTGATTTTAACACGCGAGGGAAAGTTCCTAACTGACCTATAGAACTGCAATTGGTATTTTAATTGGAAAAATAAAAACATTATACAACAAAATATGGGACAGATTAATCGTGTGCCTATATGAAACATTTAAAAAAAAATAAATAAAAAAATATTGTGTACCCATATTTAAATTTAATAAATGTACGAAACAKATTTTGCGGACAAACGAGAGGAAAACCGACTACGGTTAGTGTGTAATAATGTTCTACGTTAAGTAGCCAGTATAATAGGTGCTTATATTAAATAGTTGTATTTTAGAATTATTTAATTTTAAAAAAACCAACAACCTGTAATTTTTTAAACACGGTAAGTAAATGAGTTGGCTTAAATGTTTACTTAATAAATTATTGCACTTTTTTTTTATATTTCGTATCGACAATCATAAAATAAGTGATTTAAACCAGAAAATGCACTTATATTCTAAATTTTGGAAAATATGCAATTATATGCAAAACAAAATTTTGATATTTGAATCTATACACGATGAAACGAATTCCTGCATACAACAGGATAATCCAAAAAATCATATAAAATATAAGCATATTATAATATGTTAATATGTAACATATTATTATAACCTCATTGTAACTCTAAAAATAATAATTATTGATGAACATATAACATAAAAKGAGGGAAGCAATCAAACAAAACTTGTTATATTTATAGTTTGTTGACACATTTAGGGGGTCACGGCACCAGCGTTCGTTTGCCAATAGCCGAAAAATGTGTAAGACTTGTCTATCACCATAGACGCGTTAGGTTAAGTTAGGATAGTCATTAAGGTACGTCTATTGCATTATAATATACCTATGCAATGACGGTCGAAAGTTCAAAACGCATACGGCGGCGGTCGCGCGCAAATATCGCTCCCTCCCCACCCCATCCTTAACCAGCACCAATCGCTTACCCGCGCCCCTCTCGCTCAGAGCCCAGAGGCGCCGATACCGGCGATACTCGATCGAGCGTGCCTATAAAATATAATAATATATAAGAACTACCGTTGTTTACGTGAAACGTTGTTGTCGAAAGAAGTACTGTTGTCGTCCGCTGCGGCCGAACGCTCGCTCGCGCACGCACACGCACGCGAAACACACACACTCACGCGCACCGGCACCCCGTCTGTATATGTACGCGCGCACACACGGGCACGAAAACTTGTTTGACTAGGCACGGCCGGTCACCCGCCGCCGCCGCGACTACACACACACACGCGCGCGCGCGCGCAACCGGCAAGAATGGGACGGAGGAGAATAAAGTTGATCTCGTCTCACACCTGCTCAAGATTCCCTCCGTGTCCGATGAGCAGCATTCAGTGTCTTCGGAGCTCCGGTTCCGTGCGTTTCGTTTGATATCATATCACTAGTCTGTACACGGTGTGCGCGGGCCCGCGGTGCCGTCGTCGCGCGTAAAATCTATCGCCACCTGTGCGTTTTCAATAATAATAATAATTATTATTATAATATAGGTACGTACCTATATTTCGTATTTCGCCCGACGCCGAATTTGGTTCCGTCTCTGTATCTTCCGGCGGTCGTCGCCGCGAGGTAATAATAATAATATTAATACTTCAATAATAATAATAAAATTAAATACGTATTTCAATACAGTTCGTCTTTCGACGCGAGTGCGACCCGTGTCGAAACTGTGTGCGTGCGCGGTTTTCCGGTTCGACCGTTGCGAGAGATCTGCACCGCCGCCGCWAAGGCCAAACACTCGAAGCCGGACCGTCCGCGAAGGATTTACGCGCATCAGGATATTAAAAAGGTCGGTGCACTTTTCGTATAACATACCTCGGTTGATTTCGATGACAAGCATAATCAATCCTTTGTTGATCGCGGCATTCTGGTGCTATATAACATAATAATTACTACCTATATATTATTAGATCGCTATATAATATGTATGACCCGTGACTTACGCCGCCGTTTTCCGTCTGCTTTTTACCGGTGACAATGAGGTACATCGCGCTTTTCGCGCCAATGTCTTCTCAGACCGCCGAAAATTCTCCGAAATGGCCGGTCGCGATCGTCGCGATACGCGGWTCGTGGTCTTCACAATACGCGGTTCACTGTCTTCACCGACACGCGGTTCGCGGTATCAACCCCGCGCCGCGTGGTATCCGKGAATCCCGGTAACGAAAACCGCACGCGTTCCCCGCGGCCGTTTTCTATGATGTTATTAGGTACTGAATGTGTCTCATCGAATACAAATCGAATTAAAATTTAAGAAATGGTTCAGTGCTTTTTGGAGAGTGTCCTATATTATATTATTTATCATAATATCATAACAATAATAATGTGCACACTAAATCATACACGTTTTATCGGATAAATGTGCAATTTGTCGCGACGTGGGCGAAACTCGCCGCGATGTTATGTTATCGTTTATTTATCCTCTCTCTAAGTCTCTATGTCACGTAGTATATTATTATATTATTATAGGTAACTATCCGGCAGCCGTAACCGCGATACGGTCGGCGTGTGTGTCGCGTAGGTATATAACAACAACAACAACTGGGTTATAATAATAATCGTCGTTAGCAGAAAAAAAATTATTATTATTATTATTATTATGATAAAAAAACCACCGTCGCCGTCGCATATAAAAAAAAACTCACATCAGTCGTCGTTCTAAACGCCATCGCCGTTTATGTTATATTATTATTATTATAGTATGTATATATCTGATATACGTTGCTGATGATACTATATTGGTACACCAAGTATGTGGCGTTATATATGGTTGCAATACTTAATATTATTTTCTCATCATACGTAAGTTATGATATTATAAATGTGCGGTTTTAATATTATTATTATTGTCATTTTTTTTTTTGTTTTGTTCATATAACATCTAAAAAATAAAGCGCGTATTATAGAACGAGACGAGCAAATAATTTTCTCGATAGGTACACATGGTATTATGCGAAWAATAATATTAATAACAATAACATATACGCGTACCTATATATAGAGGACACCGCCGCCGTCGAATCGCCCACATTCCCGGACGTGCGCGCCGCTTGATGTCCACCACGCTGCAGGAATTTAATTCCGGTGCAGTTATATGATTATATTATACTTTACACTGCAGTCATCGTATGGCCAGTAAAAATTTCCATCACTCGGTTGTGTGATCCACAGCAATCCCAAAAGTCTATCACACTCGTTATGGTACTGAAATATGGTAGGTACATATTCCGATATACCTAAAGATAATCCTTTTTGGCTCATCATCAAAACCACCCAATGATGAATCGGTAAAAATTATAAATTGTGTAGCTTACGTCATATTATTAACGGATATTAATTCGGGATAAACCCACTGCGAGCATTGTTTAATTTGACACGGAAAACGTTGTCGTGAAGGATCAGAAAGTATACTTCTAATATGTACAATTTAATCACACCTCGTGGCGGCGTCTGTGTAGTCCTACCGGCCTCTGGTCGAAATATGATTTCCGGAAGAATTTCCGTCATCAAAATTGTTGCAATTATACTGTTGACGTATTATATTCCTTTTTCCCTATATTTTGCAACATCACAACGATCGTACCTGAGAATAGGATGTAAAACAATCGCAACTGGATCTGTGCAACGCGGAATACGATTATTACAATATTATAATATATTACTGTCCGTTTATATTAGTGTTTTGTTTATTTTATAAATTTGCAGTTTWTACTTAAATCTGTAGTATTGTTGCTCTGACGTCTTACTGTTATCAACTTGTCGTTAAGTACCTAAATATAATAATAATATATATATATAGATGAATTAATATACTATGATTAACACACGTATACCTAATATGTGTGGTATTGTAGACATGTATTAGTGGCTATTGTTGTTGTTGACCAGCAGCCGAGTGCTCCGACGCTGCACCGTGACCTTGGCATTAAGCAGAAATATATAAATCACTATACTTTGCTTTAGTATTCGACTAATATATTGTAATATGATTATTATTATTRATATTATTACTATTATCGTACATATAAAAAACTTCTCTCACGCCGTCCATCACCTCTTTCAAACAATTAATTGCACAGTTTATATATACGACCACGTAGGTATACASTTATTACCTATTTGATTCGTCAATAGGTATATCAATAAAAATTGATGTAGAGGTATTATGTGAATAATTACTAGAATTTACGTAAATTAATTTGTTCAAAGAATATAAACCTTATAATGTAGGTAGCCAAAAGTTAAAAAAAATAAGTACTATTTTTTTAAATGATAATAATAGTTTTTGCATTAATACATTTGTTAGAACATTAACTGTCCATTATAAATTCATAATTTGCATTGATTTTCACAAAATTTGTATTATAATTTTAATTTTTTTTTGCTTCCTTGCATAAATCTGCTTCAATGACGGACGATTTGTAAGYCATAAATGTTTTATTTTATTTTATTTATTTATTTTATTGATCTGAAATACAAGACAACTAGGCCATTAGTACACGAATTTTTGATTACATTGTTAGTATTTTAGTATTTACATAATTACATTAAATTAAATTGTACAATTCTGTTTTTTTTTAAGAATAAAWTTAAGCTTTTAACGTCCTGTGGGTTTGGTCCTAGTGCTTGACAAATTTGTTCTGAGATGTGGTATTGATTTCGATACTGGGTATATTTTTGACAATCTGTAATGATGAGGTTGACCGTTAAAAGTTAAAATGTTTTATTATTTATCGTATTAAATTACTATTTTATATTACAATAAAAATAATTTATCACTAACTGGTTCACAATATKAWTCATACATGTCATCTATAAAATATAATTAAAAATATTAAGATTGAATATTGTGTTATGCGTTRACATAAGTGTCCCACAATTCATGTTTTTTATTTCCTTTAACAAAAATAGTGGTAAGACGTGGACCATCAATATTAAGAGTACACATATTGTAAAAATCAAAATACGKGGTTGTAGTTATCAATATTAAACATACTATATATATCATATATATAATTTTATTAATTTCTATGATTTGAGTTTCAATAGTTATAAAACTTTAATAAATATGAATTTTTATTTAAAGATATTATTACCTCGATGGGTCCGGTTGTATTTCTTGTACAATAATGTGTTAATTTATTAAATTTTTTTTTTATAACAAATTTAAACGTTTTATTTTGTTTCCTTTCATTTATAMGAATATTTTAATAATTAATAACTTATAGTCAACTGCTGTACCTACATACTTAATAAACATACACAGGTATTAATAAATATAGGTAACTCGATATTTTTGGCATAATAATTCTGCCCAACACAATAACTTACCACTATATATGTCTATATACACTTAAATATTAAGTTTAGATTGGACACAAGTCGTTTTGTATCAAGTAAATACATTTTCTCGTATAACTGTAAATGTTATTGTTTGCAGGGTAATTACAACGTTATAGTCATTACTCATTTATTCAATACTTAATACACGAGTACACAATACACACCGATATAGTAGTCTGTGCCTGTGGCCCGCAGGGTCTTAAACGGCGGTGGCGGTATTCAATAAACCATCGCAATAATAATTGACTATGACCATTGTTTCGCAGTCTTGCGTCGATTAAAAAATGGTCGACGACAATCACATCCACATGACAATAATAATTGTCGTTTGACAAGGTCTTGTTGGAATAAAAATAAAAGCGCGCGTAATATACATACACTTGCCTATCTATATAATAACACTAAATGTATACATCATAGTAATAATATGAATAAACCTTCACGCGCACACAATGGCCGATCATTTTTAGCTTTCGTGGGAAAACTGCGGGCGCCGCCGCTACCGTTAATTAATGAAAAGTGGAAATGCGCGGCGCTGCCAGCCTAGTTGTGGGTACCTACGCAATTTATAAAAAATAGAACAATTTAATATAATGATAAGTAATTGTAGTGAGTAAATATGTATAACATAATAATAGTATACGATATATACCAGACATGGCTGGTATAACGATAGGCGGTATCGATTATTATTTTTAAAAATAATAATAATAATACGTATGTCTATGTGTACCTGTGTACCTATAATATTATGCAAGTGTGTGCGCATTTTATTATTATAATGTCGAAGCGATTGTCTCACAATGGCTTTTCGGTTTTCCGACGTACACACATGCCAAGTAGCGAACATTCCGAATAACTATTTGTTTGTACTCTTTTTAAGCGACAGTCCGCAATAGGTGCCCGTACTTAATGAGCGCCGGCGACCGGAGCCGTTCACGCGTGTAATAATAACAATCACGTGGCGATGGAAATGAGAACTATTCTCTCATTGTACGATATAATAATTACCATTATAATAGTCGGTGGCGGGGCCATTTCTGTGGAAAAACAGAGAGGTGGTGGTGCTCTTCGTCGTCGTATCGTTGTTGGCCAATTATGAATCGTAAATTACCGGGTAATTTTTGTATTATGATTAAATACAATGCGTATTTGTTATTTAATATTTCCAAAGAGAAATCATTTTCCACTTGTATACTATATCTAGTATAATAATCGTAATACGATTTATTTTATACGTTTGATGTCCGAACCCTTGATGTCGTTAAAACCGTTCGTTTTCCGACGTCGTACATTTTATTTACGTTCATAACGTAGGTACGACACTGGTGACCCACGACGACCGCACACAGATCTATTTACGCGATTGAAAGAGACAGGATACATAAGAATGACGTTATTATTGATAAGCATATTATTATATGAAATGCTCTGTCGTCGGAAGGTCTT